CCATGATGATTATGACGGTAGCTCTCTGAAAAACACTTCTTTTTTTAAAGCAAGAACAGAAATAGTAATGAATCCAGTGGGTAAATAAATCTGAAGTGCAAGAAGGAAATGACAACAAATATGCTTGAACTAAGACTGTAGTTATAAAAAGGATTAGTAGGTAATTAAATAATTTATTGGAACAATAATATACATGTTCACTTTGTTTTGTCTGTTTCAGTCTTCCATAAGCTGATCTCTTGTAAGTGCAGCTCTGCTGTGCTGTGTTTCATGCTGTTTCCAGGTGAAAGAAGATGTGGATCGCTCTCATTGCCTTTTCAGAAAGCAGAGCAGGACTCGGGAACCATTGAGGTTTCTTTTTGTCCTGCTTCACTTCTCGGTGTGCTCAGACATGTGCTTTTCTGCTCCAAACTTTGAGAAATTTTCTTCGTCACATATTGCACTACAACTATGCAGAGTCTCCCACATGGCTGTTTGCTTTTTATTTTCTAGCATTTCTATAGCACATGGAGATAAAAAGAAGTAATAAATTATGATTGACATTCCTATTATACTCAATAATATTAGAATGAAATCTGCAGCTAAGTGTGCTCTGCATGTAACCACAGGATTCTAGGTTAGACCACTGAAGAGAACATGACTCACAGGTTAAAGGTCATGGTGATGCACTGATCGTTCATTTAGACTCTTTCTAGATTTGGATTAGAGTTTGTTCTGCACTTACAAAATCCGAACCACTGAAGAACCTAAACATGACTCTGAAAGTCCTTCAGTTTCTGAACTTCCTCCCAGGTAAACTAAAAGAACCAGATCCAAAAAAGTTCAATCTGGTCCTCTGGACATTCAAAAAAACAAACAACAAAACAAAGCAACAAAATGTAGACACGTTTCGTCTCTCATCCTGAGGACTTCCTCAGTCTGAGGTGCTGTATTCAGCTCAGTCTCTTAAATAGCACCTTCTCAGAGTGGATCAACCAGTTTTGCTGCTGACAACCAAAACCAGCTGATCACATGCTCAAGAAGGACCATCAGCCTAACAATGGATCATTAGCACCTGATGGCTGTTTACTACTCACAGAGGGCTGAGTGATACTAGCAATCACAGCATTGTGATGGTTTGAGAGAGGAGTAAAGGAGGCCATCTTTGTGAAAAGAAATCGTCCATCGTTAAACAGGGGTGGAGCCTCCGGGTTCAACTGTCCCCCTCTTACAATGCTGTGATTGCTAGTATCACTCAGCCCTCTGTGAACAGTAAACAGCCATCAGTGTGCTAATGATCCATTGTTAGGCTGATGGTCCTTCTTGAGCATGTGATCAGCTGGTTTTGGTTGTCAGCAGCAAAACTGGTTGATCCACTCTGAGAAGGTGCTAT